CTTGTAGACTGAAATCAGAACAGTTACATAGTGGTTGCAAGGTTCGCTCTTCTTTGGCTTTACAAATATCAATGCTGTATTTACATTTTTGTGGGCTATATGAGTCCCTTGCTCTCAAAACAAAAAGCTAAAGCCAGTGGTCCAGTAAATGCCTCAGTTAATTTTATTTAGGTTGCTTGACGTCCAAGCTCCTTGATATGTAGTGTATACACATTTTCCTAGAGAACTTTTAAACCAGCCTTTTACTGATGAATTTTTTTCCCATTTTGGTCACATTATAAATGGTAAAGTTCGTGTGATGTGACCCCCCATTATCTTGAGCTCTGTATTTACCTGCAACCATTGGGAGTGACTATAAGATGTATTCAGTTCAGGTATCTCTCAGAACATGGATGTACAGTACTACATTTATTTTACAGAGCTGTAAGGGACTGCATGAAATCTCTCTGTGTATGCGTGCGTAAGAGGGAGAGAGGATGTGAGTGTGTGGCTGTGCTTTGAAGTAATCAACACCATAACATGGATATTCAGTTGTGACGGTTTCTTTGCGGTTTCTATGGGACAGGCTTGGCACAGTTTCTAGGTCCCGACTGTCTTGGGGTGATCGGCAACCCAAACAGTAGGTGCCGGTTTCAGTGAGGCAAAAGCGATCCTTCAGGGCAATATGAGAGTGGCTGAGGTGCAGCTGGAATCAAGCGTGATGAGAAGATTGACATGAAGCCCTGGGTGGATGCCTTTGACAGGACATGTGCTTCCATGTTAAGTCCTACTACTTGCCACCTTTCCTTGCCAGAATTTTTGTCTGAAGCTACGTGGTGAGCTTTGGAAGGAGGGGCAGCTCAGTGTTGTAAACAAAATCCTAAAATGCCAGAGACAAAGGACACTGTTAAATTGATTCATGGCAGAATGTTTCGATCTGTGTTTAAGAAAAAGAAAAGGTGAAGCAAGGCTTGTGTATCCAAGCGACTGTAAAGCCTTCACTGTTGCCATGGGAGGTTTTATCAATGACGTAGTGGCCAAAATTGTCCTTTTCTTATAATTGAAGGTTGTGGTAGGAAGAAGAGGGGTTTTTCCAGAGAGACAGCCCCCTCCAGCAGAGAATCAGCAAGGAACAGGCTGGAGCTGAGTCACGCGCACACAAACACACACAAAGATCTGATCAAAATAGGTATAATAGAGCCTAGTTACTTCTAAAATATAAATATTAGGTCCCCTTGAGGTGCTGTTTTTTAAACAATTTGTCCTACCACAATCAGTCTACAGGTAAAATGAATGCAGTTCTTGACCTAAAGACAGAGTTCACCTGCTGCCTCCTGATTCGTTTAATTTGGCAGAAATATTTGCAGTGTCTTACCCAGCAGACTTAAAGCAAATCCTCAAACACAAGGCTTGTACTTAATTACTTTTTTAGCATGCCAAACACAAGAAGGATGCATTGTGAGTATCATCTGACACTGCATATTGCATGAATATATTGCCATATATACGTGAATATGGCACTAACATGTGCCATGTGGCTCCTAATAAGCAGGATACTCATTTAACATTACAGATATATGGATAGGTCTCTGAGGAAACTAGGTTTAAGAGAATATTTCCCTGCATTGGTAGTTTGAAAGGTAGGCAAGGAAAAATAACACATTGCATAATATTTGATCAGGGAATAGACTTATAAAGGAAAATCTGGAGTTACACTGTTTTCTCACTCCAAAAGTAAAATGTTTCACTAAGTCCCTAAGAGCAGATGCCCAACAAATGTATCTTTGTGCAGGAAAAGGAAATATTTCCTTAAACATCCTGCAGCAAACGTGACTGATTGAGTTTCCCTTTCCCTCTGCCTGGTGCATTTCCCTTCTTTGCACAGACAGGATCTAACTAGATTTGCAGGCTATGAACTGTAGGTTACTTTCAAATTCATAACTATGAAATGGTTCGTTTAGCAGGACAAAGGCCAAGCCAGCAGACACCCTTTTTCCAGCTCAGCATGTGCATAGCAATGGGAGGGTGGCAAGGAGCTTTTGTTAATCTCAACCGAGCTGGCAAGAATGCTGCAAAATGAAGTCTTTGAAGATGGTTTTTCTTCATTTTTAAAGCAACAGTTTGCCCAAAAAACCCCAAGAAAAGTTTGCAGAAAAATTCTGCAAAATATTGAAAGACCTCCCTGGCAGTCTTATAACTAAGGGAAATTTTTCCACTAGTAATTGGACTCTACAGTTTCCTTTACCAGCCATTTTTACACAGGTTCTGATCTGATACAACTGTGAAAACATTTTTTCTCCAGCTTGAATGCACTTTTTAAAAAAGCGGGGTGGCAGAAAGGATTAGGGGTATCAGGTCAGGTTGGGGCTGATCCAAGCTGCAGTGGGATTTTTTCCTTTTAGTTTCCTTTCAGTTTCAACTTGTAAGAATTGAAAGCTTTAAGAGCCTCATGCTTAGAGCTGTTCTCAAAATAGTTGGGGACTCACAGTCTGCTTCCTAATGTGCTCGCATCACAAGACCAACCACCACTCCTTGCTCTTTTGTCTGAGGCTCCAGTGGAGCGCTGCAACGCAGGCTGCTCTGCAAGGGAAAAGCCCGCTTGCCCGAAGAGGCCATCCCGCTCTCCCACCCAAAGGTGCCTAGGTCAGACGTTGCCCTGTGGGCACCGATGTCACATCCCGTCTTCCTGAGCCCAAACAATTGGTGCCTTTCCGAAAAACCAGTGACCCTGTGTGGGCGGTGGGTTTAGATGTTTTTATTTTTATTTTTACACGAAATCATAAATACAAAATAAAAATAGTAAACGAGTACTGTAGTTTTCTGTTTTTCACTAGGATGAGGTTCAGGCCTGATCCTGAGCACTTCCAATTCTTAAAATTCAGGACTAGGTCTTTGCTCTTGGAAAACAAAACAAAGGAAAAACCAACTTAGATTTTTACCCTGAAGCCAGCAGCATCAGAAACAGCGTTCTCTCGAATTATTTTTTAAAGCACAGCAACAAATAAGTATAGTGAAGGATGAGATTAAATACAAGAGTATTTTTAAAAAATGGGCCCCACTTCCTGCTCGTATTGTTGGGAACTGCCACCGTGACCTCAGTGAAATTCTGTTACATCAGCTGTGAGTAATGTTTCTGGTAGGATGATGCTGTGTTTACTAGTGCATACACAGCTGGTGCTGGCTTTCCCGAGAGGTCCTGTGTAATTGTTTCAGATTTTGGTTATAAGTGGACCCAGCCCTGCTGTGATACAAAGCTGCATATCATGAAGTTGGGCTTGCTAAATAAATTTCCCTTCAAAAATGTGGATTTCCCTCCCTCCCCTGAAGACACCAGCTTTGATTTGATTCTTAACGCTAAAAATGCACTGGTCAGAAATATTTCATCTTCTGGTCAGATCCAAATCCTGCAACACTTCCATGGGCTTTACCCCAGCAACCTTTTCATAACTTTATTTAATGAAAAATAGTGCTAGAGTGAAGTTACACAGAGGTGTGTCCATCAGTATGGGGTTATTTTTTGATTCTTTAACTGAGACAAATTCCCACTAAATTAATGAGATTTACCAAAAGAGAATGAAATCTGCAGGATTTGGGCTAAGATCTATTGACTCTTTTCTTTCACGCAAGAGGGCTGAATGAGGGTATAGTGTGTCTATCGCTATGAACTGGGTGACAGTTGGACGTTATCATTTAAAATAAAATTGCCATGAAATGAATAAAGGCACCAAACCACATAACAAGCCAACTTTGGTAGTTTTCTTGCAAAATATATGCATTTAAATACATTTACAGTTTACAAGGTTACATTGTTTAAAAAAAGTTGCAATGATGAAATACAGAATATTTCATTCTTGTACCAAAACTACATATCACATCATAACAACAACATTATAGCTTTTACTTAAATGCAGCCAATATAAGAACTGCACCTCTTTATAGAAAAAACTAGTTCTAGACATATTGCTCTGTTTCTGTATTGTCTGATAGGCTCAGACCCTGCAACATATGTATTTAAAAATGAAAGCAGTTATCTTTAAAGGGGTATATCATCTGCTCAGTATTCAACATAAACATTTGCTGGGACAAGGCTTTAATCGTTCATACAGATCTGTGTACATATTGATAGCTCTGTTTTTTTTTTTTTTCCAGTTTGCTAAGCAAAGCAAGAGTACAGTAGATGATGTAAACCTATCCCAGCACCACAGTTATGGTTAGTCCTTACGTCTCAGCACTCAGAAACTCGTAAGAGTTGAAACACAGATTAGGTATGCCCTGTATTGCTGCGCGTCTGTGAGCGAGCCTCGAGGTTGTAGTGTTACGCTCTGAGGAGTACTGATGCTCAGTAAATAGCACGTTTCCTCCTTAGCTGTTGGCAGGAAGTTCATTATGGCGATACAGATTCTGCTATGGTCTGTAGCAGAATTCAGTGTTGATTTAAAGGTACAAGTAAGACCTTGTTTTTCTCTTGGTAATTTGCATGAGACAGTATCACACCTTCTCTTAACTTCTCCTTTAAAAAAAGTTTGCTTCTGGAGCAAAAAAGGAAAGGTGCATGTCAATATTCCAGGCTGTAGTGAAGTTTAGCAGTTGTTAAGCTCAGAAACCGAGAGTTATGTTACCCAGAGTATCTTCTTTCCAATCTGCAGTGTTATCCGGGCAATACAGTGGAGTTAAGAGGGCTGTGAGAGCCACGGCTTTGCATCTCTTGATTTGGGACTTTATAAAGTCTCAAATAAAACGTTTGGAAAAAGTCTTTTTGCATTGAATTTCTTTGCCTGATTTGGTAAATGAAGGGAAGTACGCGTTAACAAAATTACGTTGGGGAGCCAAGCAACTGCTCATCCAACTGAACGCACGTGATTCAAAATTGGCAGCCAAAGGGGCTCGGCAAGAAGGCCATGAAAGCTGTCCATGCCCCAGCCATCGATATCCGGGGCAATACTTATGCTTCCAGTCTCCTGTAGCGCAGATGGGAGGACACAGAGGCATGCCCTGCGGGAGCCAGGACACACAAGGATCTCCTAGGTCTCTGAATCTAGTCCTCTGATAATTCTGGCAACCTGCAATGATTTCATATTCAAGTAAACCTAAAACAGAAGGTGATGAAGAAGGGATGGAGAACCTCAAGGGGCAGCCTAGAATAATCTGTTTTGTACTCCACTGAATGACAGCAACTCTCTGAAATTGTGTACAGAAGTCTCAAAGGCACACAGAGCAGCGCACCTCTCGGAGGCACTGAAACAACTGAAGGAAATCAAATACCTTTGTCCAAATAGTTATTTGCCTGCAGGATTAAGGACTGAGGTTAGTGTCACGCTTTAAACAGAAACCCTAATTTAGTTGCCCAAAAAGAATTAAATGAAAAAACTTAACCGGTGACAGCCACGGCAGAAATCAGCCAGGTGCAGGTGCTCAGGAGAGAGAAGGAAGAAGGGAAGTTTCTCCTGTGTGCCAGTGCGCGCCCGACGGCCCAGTCCCACCAGCCGGGCAGTGCCAAGAGAGGCACCAGCAGCAACAGCGGCCGACCAAGTACTCGCAGGTCTCCCAGGATGAGGCCCGGGGCAGGCCGGGGAGCCGGGCTGGGAGTGAGCCCGGGGGCTGGGACCCTGCACTCCCAG